ATACCACGGACGCTAAACATTCTTGCAAACTGTCTAAACTGAATTATACATGCAGACATTCATATGAGGAGTTTTACACAGCAAATTAGTCATTCAGAGAACAAATTTTATTTTTGAACATGAAAAAATATTTTATGAGGACCTCGGGGGGGCCTCATAGCTGGTTACGGGCCTGCTTATGTTCACTTTTACATCCAATTACAAAACACCTGCATTGCTTACAAGATGTTTTAACTACAGTGGCTCCAGAACAGAAAAAATGGCAGACAGCGTACAACAGGCTGAGGGCAGAGATATGCTAATATGGAGCAGTCAATCAGCGGCCGTGGGCGGGGCCTGAGCAGTATGGCCCCACCCACGGCCGCTGATGATTGCCACGCTGCTGAAACTTGATGATTGAGACTTTAGGTTTTTTGGGGATAAAAAAAAAAAGGAGTGAATGGATTTTTATCATTGTAGGGGGGTTGTGTTCACACACTGCTGAGACACATTCATATGCAAACACCACGTAAAAGTGAATTTTGCATCCGATGCCCCCTTACAGCTAAACATCAACACTTTTTTTGTGTCAGACGTATGCCAACGTGACACCCAGCAGTACCTGGTGATGCCAATGAAGGCCACTTCCTGGCTGGTGGTGTTGTTGACCAGTGAGACACCCATGTTCTGTAACGAGATGCAGGTCTCCTGTTCAGCCAGCTCTATTTTCTCATTATCGCAAATCTTCTTGAAGACACACGGCTCGGTGGTGAAAAGCGCCACACGTTGGAGGCCTTCATAAAATGAGACGACAAAGAATTTTCCCTCCTTGCTCACATCCAACAACTGGTCCTATAGAACAAATGAAAACAGGGACCCAGACAGGAATTCAGTTTCACATCTTCAATGAAGAGTGAGGTTAAGTCCATAAAGTTTGGTTCAGTAATTAAATAAATGAATTTGATCACAATTAAATATTGCAATCAATTATCAAACCTGGTTTGTATTTCTCACCTCTTCGCTCTTGAGCTCTCCTTTGTACTTGCCACACTTCCAGCTCAGTATTCTTGAGCCGGTCGGTTCGGCCCAGGTGTAGTACATCGCCTGACCTGGAGCCAGCTCATCCATTTCTGCCTGAGAGCTGCCAGAATCAAACCATTAGTTGACCTGATTATTTTATGTTTGTTCAGACTATATAAAAGTGAGACACTTTTCTGAGAGAAAGTTGAAATCATGACGTCAATGCAGCCGCAGCAGGCAGGCGCTCACAGGCGTAAAACACATCATATAGAAACCACAGAAATAACAGGCCCATAGTATTAACAAAACAATATCCGAGAATAATTTACACTTGATATAGAGCACAGGCAGTTAATTTCCCTTTAACAGCAGCCAAAATCACAATAACCAAGTATCCAATGAGAGAAAAAAGAAAATAATTCATGCTCCGTATCTTATCAGAAGCCGGAGCTCCACTGACACACAAGAGAATACAGTTCATTTGTTAGGAAGCGGAAATGAAAGCAGCTGTAAGCACAGAACCAGGAAGCAAGTAAGTTAATTTCGGTTTTCTTGTCCACTAGACGCAAAACACCTGGCGGGTTGTAAAATCATCATCAGGAAGAGAGTGATTCACTTCAGACTGCAACCTTATACGCTGTGGAAGGAAAATGAGTTCTGTACTCATGATTTCCCCAAAAGTATTTTGGAAGGGGTCGAGCGGCTCGCTTCATCAGACTGTTAAATCCCATGTTAGCTTGCAAGGAAAAGAAAGAAATACTGTTTCATGCATCTCAACCAACATCACGTTGTCTGTCAGAGTGCTGTGAAAGAGTGTACCAGAAGGATTCAGTCTCTTCACACAATGATAAAGAGACATCCACTCTCTCATCCCGAAACCAAGTAGAAGATTTCCGTATACTGGTGCTACAAAGGAAAGAAGAAAACAACAAAAATGCAACAAAATAAAACATAAAACATTCTAGCAACATAAATAACAAAAAGCGTACAAAAAAAAAAAAAGCACACAACAAAACTCAATTAAAGCATTAAAAAAAATGTAATACAGACTGTAGTGTAAAAAAAAAAAAAGCTAAAAGAGCAAAGATTCTTTCATTTTTCACTGCATTAACAATACATTCAAAAAAGTAGGCAAGAAAAAAAAAATATATATTTTTTTTAATTCTGGTTTCCCGGCCACTTTCATCTATGACCTGCAATGCCATTTTTAACTTGATTGTCAGATGAACAAAGAAAACCAAAAAGGCATTTAAAAATTACTTAAATGTTTACTTATTTGTCAATTTCCAAATTTAATTATTATATTATATTATATTATATTATACATTTTGATTTCCTCTTTAGGGCTCAATTTTGATAACGACATTTTGTTTGATATGATTTGTAAATTAATTTTTTACCAAAATGTTCACTGGCCCTACCACAAAAAAAAAGAAATGGTATGTTATTTTTAGCACCAAATTTTTACCTACCAGAAAACAATTAATAGAAATCATTTACAAGGTTAATTTGAAATTACAGCCAGAAATTATATAAATATGATTAAGACGGATTCATCGCAAATAGGCCTGTCACGATAACACCTTTTTGTTGTGCGATATATTGCCCCAGAAATAATTGCGATAAGCGATATTATTGTCATTTTAAAGACCATTCCACCAAATCCATCCCCATATTACACAGCTAGATAACGATACCTCGACACATTTAATTCAGACAATACACAGTTATAATATTCAATTCATCAATCGAAACCAAATGTTTGGCAGGCATATAAACACGTATAGCTCATGATTAACAGGGTCAAAGACAGTCCCGTCAACTGGCCCTGGACCACCGGAGACTCCTTACTGCTGTCTCTCATCGTGCCCTTTAAACTCTGGTGTACTCTGAACTTTGATCTTGCACAATCACGTCATGCGTTTGTCATTCTCACCTCTGGTGAAACTGTAGCGTCTCGTCTTTAGTGTGGTTGATGAGGAGGAATGGAGCGGCACCGTCATGGTAATCAGAGAACCGGATGACGGCAGAATGTTCTGTCAGATTCACATCCACAATAATACCACCCAACTACACACAAGAGGAAACAAGAAAGGGATAAATCGAGGGAGAGTGTGCTTGTGTATCTCTCTCTCAGTTGGTCACTCACGGTTTTGTCCAGGTGCAGCAGGAGGCAGTTCTCTGGCTGGTGGAAGTCAAACGGCCGTGGCGATGATTGGCAGCCCTCCACTATGACTCGGAGTTTCTTTGAATCTCTTTCTGGCCAGAACGGAACCGCAACCTAAGAAGCAGATGGTAAATCTCAAAATTCAGAGAATCATATTAACATTTCATCTGGTACAGTGGGTTATATTTCCTGACCTGTCCGGGTCGGGCCTCTGTCCATTGATCCAGCCCTTCCTCACAGACTCGGATTATGTGCTTGGTTCTGTTCACCAGCATGTAGAAGGGCAGGAACGTCACCAACCGTGTCAAACTGAAGCTGGTTGCATCTATCTTCACTCCCACCTAACATCAAACCAAACATTACAACACAAATATTCAATTAAAGTCAACGTGGCATTTAAACCCCATTTTAATTTTGTAATGACATATTTTTGAGTGACCCGAGTATATTCAATGCGGGGGGAAAAAAAAAATTAAAGAAAAAAGTTAAATAGTTAGTAATTCTGTTATGTTTTATTCGTTTTTGCATTTTTTTTATATTTCTATTTAGGTATAATTTGTTATAGTAATTTTACTAGTTCAACTTAAACATTTTAAAGTTTTTTTCCCAACAAATATTTACATTTTATTTTATTTCAGCTTTATTTCAATTAACGAAAATGATTTTTAGTAGTTTTGGTCTATTTAACAATAACAACACTGCATCAATATCCAAAACATTTGATCAAGATTCAGTTTGTTTCTGATTCTGTATTTTTCTTCTCCTTTAAAAAATTGCAACAATTCTTTCAGGTTAATAAAAGCACATTTTGGAGTAAATAAACAAAATCAAAATGTAAAAATTAAAAAGAAAGAAAATGATTGCATCTTTTATCCAAAAGTTAAATGAAAGTCAACGTGGCATTTGAACCCCATTTTAATTTTGTAATGACATATTTCTGAGTGACCCGAGTATATTCAATGCGGGAAAAGAAAAAAAGAAAGAAAGAAAGAAAAAAGTTAAATGGTTAGTAATTCTGTTATGTGCTTTTGCAATTTTTATTAGTTTTTGTCTTTTTTTAATATTTCTATTTAGGTATAATTTTTTATTATTTCAGATATATTTATAGTAATTTTATTAGTTCAACTTAAACATTTTAACGTTTTTCCCATCTATTTACATTTTATTTTATTTCAGCTTTATTTCAGTTAAAAATATATATTTTTAGTAGTTTTGGTCTATTTAACAATAACAACACAGCATCAATATCCAAAACATTTGATAAAAATTCAGTTTGTTTCTGATTCTATATTTTTTTCTCCTTAAACAAATTGTAACAATTTTTTTCAGGTTAATACAAGCACATTTTAGAGAATAAATTTTAAAAAATCAAAATTAAAAAAAAAGATTGCCTCTTTTAACCAAAAGACACGTATTCCATTCCTATAGATCTCATACTGAATGTTGTACATTTCTCCCATTCATTTTTTAAAAAGTGGTCCATTTCCTCTATATACTGTCTTTGGGGAAAACATGCTCCAGGAATAGGATAAGAAACAAGTATTAAGAAAGAAAATAAAGTCAATTTTGATGTATTCAAATGTAATGAAAGAACTGTCACCATGTAATCCTTCTGTTCCCCTTTGCATTTGACGTCACCGTAACTCCCAACAGTGTCGATGGAGAAATCATCTGATAATTCACTTTCTGAAATCATCAAGCGAATCTGTGAACAACATAGTGACATAAGGAGAAGTCAGACACTTGATCAATAAAACAGCTGAATGTTTCCTACATGCTTGATGACATTATTCCAAACCTTGTTGTTCTGCAGAAAGTTGCGTGGCTTGAAAGAGAAGAGGAGGGGCATGTCGTAATCCTTCGGGTGTTTGCGATGAATATCATCTGCCTTGTACTGCAGCAGTCTGCCTGTCTTATTCACCATCCAGTACGGGGAGTGGATGGCCACCACCAGCTGACCCTCCTCCTTCTTAACATGGACAGCGATGTTTAGCTCCGGCCTCGTCTCCGTCTCCTCGTCCTCTCCCAGCGAGAGAAACCTGATGAAGCTGATCTCGTCACAGTCGCTGCAGAGACTGTACTTGGCCTCCCAGTCCTGCTGCAGGTATCCCAGCAGCTTCAGCTCCAGAGTGGAGAAATCCATGATAGCGGTGTGGATCTGGGAGGAGTGGCCCGCTTTCAGTAAGGAAGAGGGGAAATCTCCATTGCCCTGTAAACAAAACAGTTTTGTAAAATATGCAACTATAAATTTAATACCCGATACGTGCCTAAAAGTAATCTTTTTTATAGAAATTCCAATCTATTCTACAAAAAACTCCAAGCAGACTTTGACTTGGGTGGAATTTCCAACAGCAGCTGTTTCATAATAAAAAGACAGCTGTAAAATGTATCCCCTGTCCACACATTACAGGATGCATTCAAGCATTTTACAAAAGTAATTACTATCACCATCCTTCTTTTTTGATAATTAGCTGTCATACTTGGAACTGATAAAATAATCAAAAAGAATTATCGATTTCATTCTTTTAGTGTGTAATACGTCATGTTTATATTTAAACAACGTTGATGGATTTTTTTTATTTTTGAGTTAAGTGCCTTTCAAAATATCAAAATAATCTTTCATTTAAAAAATAATAATAATTAGTTGAATATTCATTAAAATTATCAGGTGATTATAATTACTCGGGGTGCACTTATATTAAAATTTATGTTCGATACCGATAAGCTGATTTTTTTTATTCATGTTATGGCTGGTAACCAATGAATCTCCATTATTAAAAGTGTATACCATTTTGTATTAATCAATAAAAAAAAAAAAAGAATACTTACATCTAAAATGAAATACTTTTAACAACATTTTTTTCATTTCATTTTATTTCATTACTTTGGTGTAAATGTCATGTTATAATTAAAACAATGTCCAGATGTGCCTTATGTGTGTGTGTGTGTATAAATGTTTGTGAGAGAGAGAGAGAGTGCGTGTGTGTGTGTATGTGTGTGTGTGTGA